TTATAGACTTTTGGAGCGTATGACACAACAAAAACCTAAATTAAACAAGAACGTGTAAAATTCAATCCATTTTCAAAGTTCATGCAACAGCTGTAGCTAAACTGAACCTTTTTTCTGTTTTTAGTTTTTGTGATAAATTAATTTACATACAAAGCATACTATCCTTAACACTATCCCATACACTAATTATATTGACTTCACTCATTGAGTATTGAAGTCCGTTATGTTTTGCTGTACCTAGGTCGTGTCAGTGGTCGGCATTATTTTACTGCGTGAAATGTCGAAGTTGGCTTCTCTGTTTTTACGTGGTAGCCGTTTAGCATTCACAAATGCTAGGACAGCCAGCTCTCGCCTTATTTCATCACACAAACAATGCAATGCTATCAATTATTGTGCTGTTGCGACCAGGACTTATTCATCTCAAAGTAAAAACTTAGCATAATTACCGAAAAATATTTTAGTCGACCGGAAGTTCAATCAGGTTTTGACGAATGAAATCAAGCAAGAAAAAGAAAACTCCTTCACATGCAATCCCCCAGCAGGATTCCAAGTAGCTAAACGCGAAGGATGTGAGTTCGTTTTGCGCAAAGAATATAGCGATGGAGTGTAAGTCGCGTGTTGTTTTAAGTTATTTTGTAGTTGTGTTGACATCGAATTTAACCTAGCAGGCAGCGTTTCCCCTGGTTCAGCTGAAGATGAGGATGTGGCTTCATCTGACAGAAAACCAGAGGAGGATATACCACTGGAAGCCCGTCCAGATCTGCGCATCAAGCTAACAAAACCCAGCGGCCGAGCTGTCATCTTTAACTGCAGTCTCCCAAGCCGAGAAGTCGAACAACAACTTGCTACTGAAGAAGAAAACAACCTTCGTAAGTCTCTTAACGTTTCGTAATTGCTTGGCAAGATGAGTTTTAATTCGTCACTATACTGATGTACTGGTGCGTACAAATCACCTGAAGGTGTATGTCAACTACTTGGTTGAGGGGGAGTCTGTTAGCATATATGCACAGTAACGCACTATAGTGATTGTTATGGTCGCTTACTGATTGATTTTGTAATACTTTTACGGCATTGAATTGTTTACTCCTGCCTGCTGTTAAACTGGTCAAGTTTAGTGTTGGAGTAGAATTAGGGTAGTGTGAATAATGTAATCCACCGAATACGTGGTCAAAATCACTGTGCTGGGAACTAGGTAGACTTCTGTCTGGGTTCACTGATCTACAAATATCTACCTTACCTAATTGAGGATTGGAACCACTTGTTTCTGAAGTAGATCTCCCAAATTTGAATGTATGTAAAGTGTTGGAATTTAGTCCCCTTGAAGACTTTACAAACCGGTCTATGAGACACTGAGTTGGTGCTGGTAATAATACCCAGTAGCTCGGGCTGAAGTAGGCCTCGAACCCGGGAACCACTGACTATACGTCGTCTGCTTGGGCTCGTGAACCACATCCATAAAGCTTTGGGCATTGTGGAATTGATTAAATAGATTATAATTTTATATCAATGGTTACACAATAATAAGTTTCTCGGATATATTTCGAGCAAAATTATTGCCCGTGATCGTACGAAGCGTTAGGCTTGTTTTTTAATCAAATCATAGCTTGTAAGCCAAAGAGAGCGTAGACATTCTCGTAGATCGAAACTGCTTCACGTATATCTCGGTATGTAAATAAATCGTAATTATATTTTGATGAGGCTAGCAACCCCATCCTGTAAAAATTAAACACTGCTGCAGAAACTTCAAGCCACTAGCTTGGAGCCCTATGTTCCACTGGGAACGTGAAGGAAAAATTATTAACTTATATTTTGATAGTTAACACGTAATGTAACAAACTGTTCTTGCCATAGTGGCACACTATTCAGTCCAAAATCTCTTGTCTATCATATGAGAATTCATGATAAGTTTCTCATACCTCAGTTTAGGCTACGGATTTTTCGCTAACACAAGGTTCATAATTCCTCTTACAGCGTAACTATTGGATTGTTGTTAACCATGACTGTACCCTATGTATTTGTTTCAAACGTGAACACAGCAGTTCTAATGCATACAGTTCGTGCTACTCGTCTGACTAATTAATTTGCGAATTTGATGTCATGTGAACACCTCACTAAATAGCTGTTCGTACGCAGAGGATTTAGGGTACTGCACAGCTAAGTAATTTTCCTAACTTCTTCATTTTCGACATTGCAGGCCGTGAAGACGAGTGAAGTTTGCTTCCTTTCACGTGTTAAGTTAGCACCTTCACATGACCAGTTTGTCTTAGCCCGTAAAGGTTTTTTCCAAGTGTGCTGTGATGACTAAGCAAAGCATTCTAGACTCAGAGCAAATCAAAGTGCAATGAAAATGTGTAGTTAGTATATTTGAATTTAATTAAGTGAAGTATGCGACATGTCTGGATGTATAGACAGTTTTTCATCTGTAAGTCGCCAAGATACATCCTGCAGTTTAGTATACTATTAACGACTATCTATTGTAGGCCGTCTTTATGTGCTTATTTTATGTTTAGATTAGTATTATAATGTACAGGTCATCTTTTGAATGGATTTTCTTTCTTTTAACTAGCCACTTATTCCGTGGATTCTGTTGAGATGGAACGGAACCCAGGTTACTTTGTGTATACTGACCTGTTTGACGATGTGAGTGAATTCCAAGTTTTCTGAGTTATTTCTGTTAGTTTAGATGTTAACCGCTAAATAACTGTCAACTTATTATTGTAGAACATGTATGAGCACACAATGCAACTGCTGATGGAGCGAGGACTCAATGCTGACTTCCAACAGGAATTACAGGACTTCTGTACTTCAGAAGAGCACAAATTATATCTCAGTTTTTTGGATGAATTCCAGGCTTACTGCAAAGAATGACTTGAAAATCGTACAATATTCACGTAGCCCTATGTACCAATGTTCATAACAAATGCATTTTATGCTAAATGAAGTCTTTATAATTGAAAATATTGTACAAAATAGTTTATTTTGAACATCTTGTCTTAGTTTTGAAGGTTTCATATACAAAGCAGTTGTTCACCCGCTTGTAATATTGCGCTCCCCAAACAAATATATGGTTCATAATTACTGCACTCGGTTTGTTCTGCGCATTCCGTGATACCATTATCTGGTTTAGCGTTCATCTTCTTGATGAAGTCTCCAAGAGCATGTTTAAAACTGGAGAGGTTCTGTGTAAATCTACAAAAAGGAAAAATTACAATGAGTTTTGGTGATACAGTCGTACAGATTAGATATATTGCTGTCTAAATATTACGACAAGACATCTTTAATAAGTGGATTTTGCAATCTCCGAAGTATAAACACTTTTAGACGACTGTTATACGCTGTTGAGCCCTTATCCTGTGTATGGAAAGCATTTACACTAGATGTGCGCAGACATACAATTTCACTCCATTAAGGTTGAGTTTTGGCTCCTAATTGAGCATGTAACTGTTTGGTTGACAGTACAGTACTTAAATAATCCCTATATTTTATCGGGTGAGCATTTAATAGAGGACCAGTTCGAATCTATATGTTTATAGCAGTCATCAACGCGTCTGTCAGCTACTTATCATCGATGTAGTCTTCTGTTTGTGTATAGGGGTTGTCAAACTGCACTTGCACATCCATTTCTACTAATCCCAGCATAACTCCTCCAAGACTTAGGGGCTACAGACACTACTTGCACATCTACGATTTTTCGGATGTTGTTCTTGATGATTTGCCTCAAGTTTTGCGACGTTTATGTTTGATTTGTTAAGATGGATCCGTACGCAAACTAGGAACTTCGTAACTTCATCAATGGAGGTGAGTTGACAGAATTAAGTCGAACAGAAATCAAATGGTGTTTTTGCTAGAACACAGGTAAGCGCCTTAGATAAGCTGCAGATAAACGCGGATTTAATAATTACTACACCGGTTAAAGGTTTTTGAATAATGTAGAATATGCAGACAAGATAAACAGCACACTGTGAATGATCATCAAGAAATTTCAACTTCTGATGACCTGATTGAAGAGTAACTAATTGAGTTATTAAACAGGTCTCTAGACAACAAGGTATTTGCTCAACCTTGTGAGTACAGTAAAACCGAGATTATATAGGCTGCCTAAAGTGCTAGATACGTCTAGTCCCACGTATCATGTAACAGCTAAATGGTTGATGAGACTCGTACAACCTTTGTACAATGAACTGATGACAAAGCCTACTGTGAAGGGTAGTTTTGCATTTGTCGAAAGAATAAGAGATCTAAGTGTGAATGACCAATTCATGATATCATTTGATTTACCTATTATCATCTTTGTCCACTATTGTACCGTCGATTGAAACAGTGGATTTTATGTGTTGAAATTATCAATCGAAACACCGACATCTGTATCCTCTGTGTAAGGAAATTTGTGTTTTAAGATGTACTGTGAACGTCCATTTCTTGTTCATTAAGGAATTCTGATGGCGACTAGCAGTGGAACTCAGGATCCGTCCCATTTGGGACCCGTTAGCTAGGTGTAACTACCCCCCCCCCGTCCAACCCATAGAGCGATAGCATTCCCACTAAGACTCGAACCTAGTACCCAACGTTTCAAACGCCAAGAAAGAATAGAGCCGTACAGAACTTCCCATGTTGACATATAGTAAATAATAGCAACTTAATCTGAACAAATACAGTTCCGTAGAGTTGTGTGTACTCCAGCTACAGTCCAGTTTGCTGAACTCTGCAATCGAGTAACTGATGGATCAATGAATATAACTCTGCACAGATGTACACAACAAGAATTTCTGTACAGTTGGCGATGTGGAGTCTATAGATGTCATAGGCAAGAGACTTGAGGTTTAATTGTATCATTTTTAGTCTATGTCAGTATGAATGTATTTCTCTTTCGTCTTGTATACTGTCACAAGGTGTGTGTGTGTGAAATTCTACACCTAACAACATGTCCATCTTTAACTGAAGGAAATAAAAGCAGTTTAACAAACAAAAAAGAAATCAAGGGTAAAATATTTCTGTTTAACTTACTTATCACGATTTTTTAATGTTACATTACACTCTACATCTTCCATTAATTTATCAAACAGTTTAGTAACAGATTCTTGCCTATCTAAAGGTAATCCTGTGATGACACAATTTCGTAATTCTGCATAATACTAAAACAGATGTGTGTGTGAAGAAAAATAAATGTGAACAGCTAGTTATGCTAATTTATGTAAGATAACTGTCACTGGAAAAATAACTCACCATCTTATCATCATCGAACTAAACAACCACTGACAATGAGCCCTTTGTCCATTATGCGACACTTCCTACTAACTGCCCAAACCTTGACAGATCGAGAAGGGCTCGAAATTGAGCATTTATATCACAATGAGCTATAGTTCCATTATCGTAAAATAGAAACCTCTAAGTTACTCGGTGATAAGTGATACCTAGAGGTTGCCTCATGTTCACCTAACGGGATTAGTTGAAGCGTGTGCGTACATTAGGAGTCGACAAGTTAACTTGACGTGCAATATTAGCCGATACAGGACCATAAGGTTGGAAAAGAGTTAGAGTTGGTCAAATCAAAACCTAGTATCAAATCATAAATTCTTTGACTTTTAGTTTGAGCTAGCCATATGGGGAGGTGTTTTACTGTCTGGTTAAGGTCAACTGATGGATGGTAGGAGGTAATGGCTATCCGGACCGAGAGCTGCTACCTGACGTGGTAGTCGATCTTGCACATCGCAATGACACAACAAGCTACATTGGCTGAAACTATTGTTCCTGTTGGTTCTACCATGGTAGGAAGGTTGGTAGGATAGCGATTAGACTAAAAGTAGTTACCGGCTTAGTGTAAGAAATTTCTGTAACACTACGCTGGGGGTCTGTTGGCAAAGTCGTACTGCTGGGGAACAGGGATGTAACAGCAGTAAGGTGTTTCCCTTAGATGACCAGCATGTCAGCTAAGCTGTCTCTCCACTCCGGAGACAAGGGGTTAGGAAAGGTCGACCCCAAAAACTGTACATCCCGACGTAGCCTACGGTGGTCCGTAACCGGCGGTAACTTTACTAATACGGAACCAATCCCAGAAACCAGTTCATACAGGCCGTGTGTGACCGATCTCAAGCAGCTGTCCCCTGGCTCTGTGGTCACGCAACACTAACCCTCTCTCTGTTTCAGGTACCTGAAGAATCAATCAACTTCCATGATGTGATCAGCGGGAAGTAAATACCGCCCACACACTTCCAAAAGCACACGAAGCCTCCCCGAGCATCATTCTCCTTTACCCACATCACCTTCATCATCTTACTTCCCTACTACAGTTAGTACTATTCTTCAGGCTAGTGAGTCATCTTCACTTCACTTTGTGACTACAAACAAAAATGAGAGCCATTGAAACACCCCCGACAGCCTCTTAAAGCCACTTCGCCAACTTCATATAGGTGCATTCAACGTCAGGACCCTCTACCGAATCAGATAACAGGTATCACTAGCAAGAGATCTGGTATCTTGAGCCATGGATGTATGTTGTGTTTCGGAGACACGCATACAAGACCCGAGTGTAGTCATTCGCCAAGTCAACAAGGTGAATCTGCAAAATTCACTTTAAGGGTGTCAGGAAACCCCTCAGCTAGTTCGCGAGGATTCGCAGGTGTAGGTATAGCACTGAGTGATGGGGCAGAAAAATCACTTCCTGACTGGATCCCAGTAGATAGTCGTATGTGTGCGGTCCGTCTGAATGGGTCCGTTATTCGTCGTTGTCTTTTCGTAGTTTCCGCTTACGCCCCAACAGATTGCAGTTCGGAGGAACTAAAGGATGACTTCTACCTGAAACTCTAACTTGTTGCAAAAGCAAAACGTTCTGATATAGTTGTTTTAGCAGGCGACTTCAATACCCAAGTGGGGAAGTTGTGCCAGACTCAGAAGTACATAGGTGGTACGTATGGAGTTCCCTGTCCACGAACCGACAACGGTGATCGTCTTTACAGTTTTGCTCAGATAATCATCTGTTTCTGGTCAGCAATAACTTTAGGCACAAAGAGAGACACTGCGTAACCTGGCGACCTCCATCACCAAATCAATACTGGACTCAGATACACTACATAACGACAGGGTATCGTTGGCGAGGGTGAGTAGAAGACTGTCGCTCCTTTCAGAACACGTGCGTAGACTCTGATCACGCTCTGGTTCGCGCACGTTTATGCTTACGACTAAACGGACATAAGAAATTGACGGCAGCGAAACAATTACGTCCCCAACTAGATAGACACACTGAGTCCCCATTTAAGGAGGAAATGGCGAAACGTGTATCTGAGGTCGACAGCAAGACTTCTCCTGAGGAAGTCTGACACAGTAGTTAGGACTCCCGCCGACCATGCACATGGTCCGAGGTTCGATCCCCTGCCGACTCACACCTGATATCTATGGTCGGCCTGCGAAATTCGGGCTACCGATATCCATGCTGAAAATTCCATACTTGTACCAAAAATACAGTGTGGAATCAGGCTGTAACCAACAAAACATATAGTTAGCTGTAGACACAGCTGTAAAAGCTGTTAATAAGCTAAAACCAAAAGTTAGTAAGAGCCATTGGATCTCTACCACCTCACTGAAACTGATTGACGCAAGAAGACTGATTCCGGAGAGCTCAGATTATGATGAGGAGCGAAAGCTACTCAAACACAAACTAACAAGAAGTTTTCGCAACGACCGTGAACAGTGGTGAGCGACAAGAGCGAAAGAGATGGAAAAGGCATCGGCGACTGGTAACGCCAGACAACTATTAAGACTTATCAGGCAAACAGGTGGTAAAATAAGAATAATAATTGAAACAATCTCTGAGAAAAGCGGCAGTATAATTAACTCCCAGGATAGATAATTGAAAGCTGGAAAGAACACTTTGAGAAGCAGTTTAATTTGCCTACAGCCACACTCAACTTACAGAACATTCAACACCTCCCTGAATGGCATATAGACACAGGTCCACCGTCCCTAACTGAGGTTACTAAAGCTGTCACTAGTCTGAAACAAGGCAAAGCAGCAGGACCTGATGGAATGACTCCAGAGGTACTTAAGTACGGTGGAGACAGTTTACTGTCTGCATTAAATGAGGTTCTAGGTAGCGTCTGGGAATCAAAGGAATTCCCGTCGGGTTGGTGTGAGTCATTGATTATCCCGATATGCAAGAGGAGAGACAAGTCTACCTATGACAGTCACATAGGGGATTAGCTTGATTAATATGATATGTAAAGTCCTAGGCTCAATAATAATGTGTAGACTAAGTGGTGCTCGGGAGGCACAAACACCAGAAAAACAAGCAGACTTTGGACCAGGAAGAGGGTGTATTGATATCTTCACCATCCGACGGATTCTAGAACACAGGCATTCTTACCGGCGTCCAACAATCATTATATTTCTTGACCTAAAGGCGGAATTCGATTCTATCGACCGAGAGGTTCTCTGGCGATGCTTGGCTGTAAAGGGAATGCCGACAAAATACGTTACACTGATTAAAGCACTCTACTCGAACTCATGCAACCCCAGGTGAGGGCTTACGGCGAGTTGTCATCTGAAGTGGTGACCGTCAGGGATGCCCATTATCCTCATTTCTATTCCATTTCATTATAGATTTTTTTTAAATTTTTATCAAGCTGTAATCAAAAATAAAAATAAAATAGATGTACTAATGGATTTAACCCTAACTCACTTCAGAGACTCAGGGATTGACTTGCTACCAGGGAATAATCTCGTTGACTTAGAATATGCAAATGATATAGTCCTCCATCCCAGGTGAAGACGCTCACAAAATACAGAGTCTTCTGAGCACTTTGAACAGCAATCTTCGAATGTTTGGCATGCGATTCGCTCCCGCCAAATGCAAGATGATGCTACAGGACTGGGCTATATTAACTCCTAGCTTAGAAATAGGGAGTGAAGTGGTTAGCGGAGCGTGTTTACCACAGAAGGCTAGTTTCTTATATGTCGGTTTACACCGTCTCTGCATTGTAGACGCGATATCCGGCTGGATATCGACCAAAGGGCGGGTGTACTGTTCAGAAGTCCGCTACGTCGTCCTTTATAGCTAGCTAGCTGTGAGACCTGGTCATTTGAGAGTGGAAGACATGAAAAGCCTAGCTAGCTGTCTTTGAATATAGGTGCCTGCGTTCTATCTCTCGTGTGAAGTGGTATAATAGGGTGAGCAATATTGAGGTTAGGCATCGGTCAAGTGCTAAGGAAGGAGGGGAAATCAATCGATGAGGCTGTGAAGCTACATTGACTGAGATGGTTAGAACATGTGTTAGGCATCCCTAGCCATCGCCTTCCTCGACGGGCGATGTTAGCTGACATGGTGCAGATTGGAGAAGAGCCAGCGATGGTAAACCAAAACATGGCTTCCTCAATCAATGAAATCCACAACAGTTAGTTTAAGTCAGCCACGCGGGAATATGTAGACTTCCTGATTGACTCATTGGGGTCCTCTGGATGGTAAAAACCAATGAAGGCTGGATACAATTGGTGATATAGCTCATAATCGTTCTCAGTGACGGCTGGCGAAGATGCATCCACTTCTTTTGACCCATAATACTCAATAATAATATATTGTTCTTCGATATTACTATTCATTTGACCTCATATCTCTGTTTACTGTCTCTATTTTGCATTTCTTTTACTTTCTTCCCTGGCTTCTTTGTGTGATACAAAGAGGGAGTGTGGCGACTCGAACTGCTGTACATCGGTGCAAAGTTCTATGTTGAAAACAGATAGACAGTCAGACAGCAATGGCTATAGACTGACTATTGAGGATAAGGTTCAAAATCGTTCTAAATGGCGCAGATGTACTCTCATTCTCTGTGATTTCCCCCATAACCGTTCTAATTTTCTATTCATTTTGTATAGTTCTCTTGAATCTTTTTTATTCTATCGTTTGTGTGCTACATGGTGTGTGACAACTCAAAATGCTACATTTCTGTGCAAAGTTTCGTGTTAAAGCTCAGTCAGTCAGCTAGTCAAATGACACTAGCCACTTATCAAGGCTAAAGTAGGTAGGAACAGGACTGGAACTGTGAATCAACCTAGAACAAAAAATTTACCCAGTCTCACGTATTTCAGGGGATTATAAAACCAAACAATAGAGAAATGAAAATAACTCAATATTACACACACACACACGCACCCATCCACACATACCTGTTGATTTAAAAGAATTAAAGGCAACAACGGTCTAGACATAGACCACTGACAACGACAATCTTCTTGCATTACTGAACTTAATAGCAGGATTAGAATACGTCGTAGTAAAGTGACACCGGATTGCATTTCTAAACTTTCAAGATTTCCAGTCACCGTGGTAGTTGTAGTAGCATTGTTCATCACTAATAAATTCAATAGATTTGTAGATGCTAATGTTGCACGTGAAGACCAAACTGCATGATTCGATGCACCACCTTTGCCCAATATTAAATGCGACATTAACAATTCATTATTACTGTTGTCATTAGGCTTCATCACATTGCTATTATTATTAATATTACTATTACTATTATTGCTGTTATTATCTCCATTCAAATTCAGTAAATATAATGAATTATTATTATTATTACTATTACTGCTATTATTAGCAGTATTAATACGACTGAAACGTTGTTGACGTTGGACAAGTTTAAACAGATGCGTTAGAAAACTATCTAAGCATACACAGCACACTTCACTGATCCCAGGATCTAAAATTTTCAAAAAATAATAACACAGATGGTAAGTAGAAAGAAATATCAAATTAGTGACATTGTTAGATTGGAAAGAAGATATGTGGTGAGAGCAGGCTGCTAGCCAATTGGTAGACATTAATTTACGTCAATGTCTATGTCACCAATATTGGCCGTGGAAAATATAAACAAGACTGATTCAACAACCAATCACAGAAGACTTAACATGGGCGAATACGATTAGCAGATATATGGCTTAACTTTCTGAGAAACCAGTCACAAGCAGTACAGAATAACCTTGAGCAAGAAACAACCAATCAGAAGACTGTGTTTGTCTGCTTGAATAAGCTATAATAATGTACATGAAATATATGTAAATACGTGCTGATTTCCTTAATAGATAATCTGTTGTCTGGCCCTTGTCTTCTGTTGCTACAGATATACTACTAATGAATGCTTGCCATGAGGATATTCGTCCCCAACACCCAGGCTAAAGATTGTGTCATTGGTATTTTATTGATGCTGACGGAAGTGATTTCTGGCTGGTGAGGATCCTACTGTCCAACAGAGAATCATCTCAGGGTAAGTCAGGGTGTATAGTTTTCGGAATGGGCTTTCTCTTACCCTCCACACTTCCCCCACAGAGCAGCTTGCTGATCCTCTAAGCGGAGAACCTTCCTGCCAGTACACCCTACTCTTCAGCAGTGTGAACATCGACCTCAAACGCTCCACTTTTTGTATACTGCGAACTCAGCGCTATGCACAACAGCTTTTCGACATGGTGAGACACTTATAGGAGCATTCGTCCCAGCCGGTTTAGCGCCTGTCAAGTCCTTGCAGTTCTGCAAGCTCGACCAACCAACGTCAAGATACCAGTCATCAGTGGAAACAGTTGTCTTCAAGTACCTCAAACTTAACAATTATCGGTCCTGCAAAATGATTCTACGATTGCATACGAAAGAAACCGTAACTTGAGTATATGCTAACTCTCACATAAAGTAGCAGGACCATAACAACCCATTTAACCTTACAATTAACTTCATAGTGTGATGAGAGCTGGCTGCTAGCCAAAATTGGTAAACAGTAATTTGAGTCAGTGCTTACGTCCTCAATAATGCTCGTGAGAGAAATATGAACAAAGGCTGATTCAACAACCAATCACAGCAGACTTTGCGTAGGCGAATACAATTTACAGATAGACAATCTGAACTTCAAGAGGCGGTCACAAAGAGATGAGAGATTAACGTTCAGCGAGAAACAACCAATAGGAAGACGGTGTTTGTTTGCTTACAATAATCTATAATAATATAGATGAAAATCTATAAATATGCGTTGATTCCTAAAAAAACCATATGTTGCCTGGCCCTTGTCTTCTGTTGTTAGTAGTACAAGAATACTTGTCTAGCTGGATTTGTACTACCCGGATTCGATCCACTCCTAAACGTCGCTTAACCTGTAGCGATTCCGGTGAAGAGAGAAGGTTGGACGTGAGACTAGCAACTCCACCATATAGAAGTAAAAAAAACCCACTGTTACTAGAATCTCCAAAGCTCCAGTCTGTAGCCCTGTTTCCTAGTTGGAACGAAAACCAATGGAAAAATTGCAGCTGACAAATGAACCCCTTAAAAATGAAATGAATTCGCCTTATTCCCCGCGAAACCCTATTACCACTGATTTATTCGCCAATTTCATCAAGATTTTCCTCATGAAGTACTTGACATAACTTCACAAGCATAGAATTGAAATCAGGACTATAAGGCAACTAATCGAGCAGATCATGATGTGGGGATTCAATAAACTATAAATTCCATAAATTACTTCAGTACTGGCATTAGTGACTTTCTTCAAAAATGGATTTCAGAAATCGCGCTGTTCAGTTGTATATAACCCACATCAAGAAGCCGATTATGAGGACAAGAATCTATTGACAATGTGCTGAACTGAAAGATTTATATCACAGTGTCATTGAGTGTTTTCAGAGCATCAAATGAATGATGATGTGATCACATCATGAACTAATAATCTTGCATTGGGTTTTCAAAAGACATATTATTGTATACTACAGGGAAGTGTCAAAATGAGGCTAGTGACGATGCAATTGATTTTCAAATACCAGTGTGGCCAATAAACTTTATGAAATTCATACTGGAGAACTAGCTTGTAGGAAATTATAGTGGTCACCCTGTTTTATTCACCCTTCAGTATCTGAAGTGTGACTGAATTGATAACCTAACAACTGAGGTAGTAAGGTAATCCTACCAGAAGTAGCTGTATACTATTCACATGAACCAGTAATGCTTGCTAACCGGTAAGATCAAAGCGATCTAACACACACCGGACAACTGTTTCGCTTGTTTGGGAACCAAGCTCACCACCAGCGTGTTGTGTGGTGTGGCCAGTTTCACACAGCTTAGAGAATCGAGTCACTTTAATACATCAGATTTCCGGGTGCTTACTCTGAATAACTGGTAATTCCATATATCGAATTCACACAATTTGCAAATTATTTGCAGTTTCTACAGTTCGAGGGGAAATTTCACTGCCGGTTAATGTGAGCAGTATATAACTACTCATATAATCTTCATCAATCGGTAGTATACATAGTTTTACGTAATTATGCTTGCTTTTTCTTATTACCATGGTCTGATGTCAAGCAGACTGCGCATACTGTGATCTGGATACTCTCGGTTCCCAAAACGGAACTTTGGCGACATTTCACCTCAAATTGTGCTGACTGTAAAACTGCATGGAGGATTTCGTCATGAGTTGACATCCGTTAGAGAACCACTGGGAAATCTGGACAGCTGTTTCCTCCGTCCTAGTTTGGGACTATTCATCAGTACGCACCCATACAGCGGGGTTCGAACTCAGGACCTTCTAGCTACAAGGCTAGCGAGCTCGTAGACCATTGAGCCACTGAGAGCCGATCCTATAGCCCATGAATTCTAACTTCTGTCAATTCACGACATAGTGCGACCATTTCACAAAATCCCTACAAAACCAATACTTGAAGATTGTAAAATTGTTGGGCTCTGGTACTATATATACATATTCTGGTTATTGTTTCAAATTCAGGCACTAAACACCAAAATACTACTACTATTGTGATGAGAGCTGGCTGCTAGCCAAAAGTAGTAGACAGTAATTTGCGTCAATGTTCACGTCCTCAATATTGGTCATGAGAAAAATATACACAAAGACTGACTAATCAACAACCTCAATCACAGCAGACTTTGCGTAGGCGGATACAATTTACAGATAGGCAATCTGAACTTCAATAAACGGCCACAAAGAAATGAAAGATTAACGTTCAGCCAGAAACCACTAATCGGAAGACGGTGTTTGTTTGCTTAAAATAATCTATAATAATGTACATGAAAATCTATAAATATTTGTTGATTTTGTAAATAAACGATCTGTTTGGCTGGCTTTGTCTTCTGTTGTTACACTACTACTGCTAATAAGTAAAAAAGGACAGAGAAAAACAAAGATAGCTTTACATGAAATATAAATCAATCAACCCGGCCACCTACCTAATGAAGTTAAATTACTTGCAATAGTCTTTAAGAAATGCAGCAGGATCGGTGTACCAAGTGAAGCAACAAATATAATATGCTCATTGAACATATGCTCTAATAATCCAAAATGGCATAATGCTAATTTTGTATGATCCTATATTTATAAATGTACATAAGGAAGAAAAAAATCAAGTTTATTAAACAGGCGGAATATATATGTACATATATGTATGTCAAATGAACTGAAATTATTAATTGAATTTTCAACTTAGAACTTTGGCACAAATATACAGTTGTTCAAGTTGTCACGCTTTACAAAAACTTCACACATAAAGGAGATGGGGTGTATTCGGGTTAAACAGTTGACTTCCATCTATAAAACACAAAATATAATTGAGCAAAGAATTCCCTCCTTTTCGGTAAATCCCTCCTCCTCTGGCTATACAATTATATATATATATATATATATATATATATATATATATATATATATATATATATATATATATATATATATATATATATATATATATTTGAATAAGGCATTAAGAAGACAAATTTCGTCGCGAGATGATATCGTCATTTCGTAGTTTCTTTACAACCGCTTTACAACTACTAACATGGTTAACAATGATTAAAATAAAGATCATGAAAATTACTCAGTTAAATAAAAGACAAAAGTACATACTAATGACCAATCATATTTAGATAGGTCATATAGTCCAGGGTAGGCGAAGATTGAAGTCTATTCTGTCTTTTTGTACACACAGTTTAGGCTGTATGTGAGATCATTCTCCCAAAGTGTTTCCATCACCTTCAATTAGAGTAATGTGAAATAATTCTGAAACAGTCATTTATATTGATTTCGTGACCTGACATTAATAAGTGTTTTGCAATGGATGAGGCTGGATTTCTATTAAGATTAATCGCGTTGGGATTTTCCATATGATTTAGTAACCATTTTGGAACATGTTCTTTTCGACGACCACATTGGAATATTCTATTCGTTCTACCTATATAGTGTGTGTCACCGCGACTGCAGGTGAACTTGTAGATACAGTTTGAAGCAAAAGTCCACAGAATTTCGTCCATTAATCGTAGATACAGGATTGAAAATGTTTGGCAAATGAGAAAAAGAGATTCGGCGGCATAGAATGTGCGTTTGATGGCTGACCGAAGTCTTTCACATAACTCTAATTCAAGGTTATTGAAGGTGATGGAAGCACTTTGGAGGATTGATCACATACAGTCTAAACTGTGTGTACAAAAAGACAGAATAGACTTCAATCTTCGCCTATCATGGACTACATGACCTATCTAAATATGATTGGCCATTAATATGTACTTTTGTTTTATTTTATTTAACTGAGTAACTGTCATGATCTTTATCTTATTATTGTTAACTATGTTAGTAGTTGTAAAGAAACTACGAAATGAAGATGTTATCTCTCGAAATTTGTCTTCTTAATGCCTTATTCAAATTTATCAAAGCGACTAATTGTTTTAATTATATATATGTTTACATACTTTGAATATTCTAGATTAGTAGTCAGTAACAATATTAGTGTTTTTTTAAAATAATATCGATTTGTAAAGTAAGATCATTTTGGAATTACAGTTCATTAAAGATGCTTAAATAATAATAATAATAATAATAATAATAATAATAATAAAGACAGCAGCAAATAGAATATCAACTAAAATTAAGAAAATTTCACAAAATTCAGGATCATTCAAACCTAGATGGTCAAGGTAAGGATAATGTCTGAACTAACTTCTTTTCGATGCATAAATTAGGCTTCTTAATATAGATCCCCAACAGCCAGTCTCAGAAATATTTAGTAGTTGAACTCTTAAGGCAAAATTGAGATTCGTAGGTATGCGGTAGATGACTCTGAAAGCCGCCTTGTTAACATCAATCTTGTGTTCTGTTTGTATCTACAAGATGATATAGAATAGTGCCAAGAATAGATTTTGTTTGTCCTTTACTTAACCAACAATGCAGGTTGATGTTCAGAAATTAGACGAGAAACACGCCCAATTGTACCCGACCGAAAGCTGCTACCTTGACGTGGTGGTCGGGCTTGAACACCGCAATGACCTAATCAAGCTATACTGGCTGAGACTTATGTCTCTTGAGGTTCTACCATGCCAGGCAGGTTGTTTGGATAGCGGTTAAACAAAAAGCAGCTACCTCATCCAATACCATGATCCAAACAAATTCACAAAATTTCATGCCGGATCGGCCGTGGCCCGGATTAACAACGACCGCGCTTCCTGCTGCCGTGTCACAGGGCGGGAGTGATAAGTATGCTACTGAGGCACACCAAACAAAAGAGAACAAACAAAAACAGGCCGCGTGTGACCGGCCTCAAGCAGTTGTCCCCTGGGCTCTGCGGTCACGCAACCAACTTCCACGGTGTGGGCAGCCGGGAAGTAACAATCGCCCTCACAATCCGAAATGCACACAAAACCTCTCTAATCCTCACTTATCTTTGTCTTCATCTCCATTACCTTGCCTTCCTCCCACTGATGCAACTCCTCTACTTGATGGCTCCTCACTCCCTCTTCACTCTGTGTCCACTAAAAACGACGAAAGCCAAAAAACCACCACGGATAGTCTCCTAAAGCCACGCCACCAATTTCATATAGGAGCATTTAATGTTAGGACACTTTGCCAAATAGGACAACAAGCATCACTAGCTAAGACCCTGGCATCTCGAGCCATTGATGTATGTTGTGTTTCAGAAACACGCATACAAGACCCAAGTGTGGTTATTCACCTAACCCCACCTGGCCAACAGGATGAATCTTCAAAATTCACCTTGAGGGTGTCAGGAGATGCCACAGCTAGTTCACGAGGATTAGCTGGCGTAGGGATAGCTCTGAGTACTAGGGCAGAAAAGACATTGCTTGACTGGATCCCGGTAGATAGCCGAATGTGTGCTGTCCGTCTGAACGGATCAGTAAGAAGGAGAAAGGACTGCACTACTCGCCGATGCCTTTTCGTAATCTCCGCCTACGCCCCCACTGACTGCAGTTCGGATGAAACGAAGGATGAGTTCTACCAAAAGCTGTCTAGTTTGGTGAGAAAGGCTAAACGCTCAGATATAGTCGTTCTAGCTGGTGACTTTAACGCTCAAGTAGGGAAATTGTGTCAATCTGAGAAGGATGTCGGTGGCACCTATGGAGTTCCGTGCCAGCGAACCGACAACGGTGACCGTCTCCTACAGTTCTGTTCAGATAATCATTTGTTTCTTGTAAGCACTAACTTTAAACACAAGGAGAGACACTGTTTAACCTGGCGACCCCCATCATCAAACCAACGCTGGACACAAATAGACCACATAGCAATAAGCTATCGTTGGCGTGGGTCGGTAGGAGATTGTCGCTCCTTCTGGAACACGTGTGTAGATACCGATCACGCACTGGTCCGGGCTCGTGTGTGCTTACGACTGAACGGACGTAGGAAACAGCTGGCGGTAAAACCATCACGTCCCCAGCTCGATCAGGAAACTAAATCCCTATTTGAGGAAGAACTAGCTAAACGCATATCTGAATTCGACAGCTGTGCTCACCCTGGAGAAGCCTGGAAGAATATTCAGTCAGCTATAGATACAGCTGTAAAAGCTGTGAATAAGTAAATTCCAAAGGTGAGTAAAAACCACTGGATTTCGACTGCCTCATCCGAACTGATAGATGCTAGAAGACTTATTCCGGCGAGCTCCGAATTCAATGAGGAGCGAAAGCTGCACAAAAGGAAACTTACTAAAAGTCTCCGCAAGGACCGTGAACAGTGGTGGGTGACAAAGGCGAAAGAGATGGAAAAAGCATTGGCGATAGGCAACACTAGGCAACTCTTTAGACTCATCACAGAATCGGGTGGGAGAAGGCAATTCATAAGTGAGACTATTTCTGAGAAAAATGGCTCCTTAATTAGCTCTCAGGATAGACGCCTTGAACGCTGGAAAGAACACTTTGAGGAACAATTTAACTTGCCTACAGCCACACTGAACCTCCCCGCCATCCACCACGTACCCGAATGGGATATAGACACTGGTCCGCCGTCTGTAGGTGAGGTTACAAAAGCTATCAGTAATTTGAAACGAGGCAAAGCGGCAGGACCCGACGGAATTATTCCGGAGGTGTTTAAATATGGGGGTGACATACTAGTTTGTAGATTAACTGAGGTACTAGGCAAAGAGACAGTACCATCAGACTGGGGTAAGTCACTTATTATACCGATATTCAAGAAGGGAAACAAGTCCTCGTGTGATAATCATAGGGGGATCAGCCTAACGAACATAGTCTCTAAAATCCTAGGCTCAGTAATCATGCATAGACTAAGCAGAACTCGGGAGGAACAGACAAGGGAAAATCAAGCAGGCTTTAGACCAGGTAGAGGGTGCATAGATCATATCTTCACTCTTCGACAGATTCTAGAACATAGACACACTTTTCGGCGTCCAACAATTGTCATATTTCTTGACTTGAAGGCGGCCTTCGACTCCGTGGATCGAAAGGTACTATGGCAATGTCTGACTGTGAAGGGAGTGCCAAGAAAGTACATTGCACTAATCAAGGCACTCTATTCAAACTCACGTAGTCGTGTAAGGGCTTATGGGGAATTGTCATCTGAATTGGTAACAACCAGTGGTGTCCGACAGGGATGTCCACTTTCCCCATTTCTGTTTAACTTCATCATAGATATGCTAATGGAAGTATCCTTAACTGAACGTAGTGACTTAGGAATCGACTTGTTACCAGGGAATAATCTAATGGACTTAGAATATGCAGATGACATAGTCCTGTTAGGGGAGGATGCTGACAAAATGCAGAGTCTTCTGAACACCTTGAGCAGCAATCTTCGTATGTTTGGCATGCGATTCGCCCCTGCAAAATGTAAGATGCTGCTACAGGACTGGACCCGTCAACCCCTAACTTAGTGATAGGGAGTGAAGTGATAGAACATGTTGACCACTTCACCTACTTGGGAAGTTGTATTAGCACCAACGGACTGATTGGCGATGAAATCTCAGCACGGATCCGAAAAGCTCGAGCTGCTTTCGCTGACTTACACCATCTCTGGCGTAGGCGTGACATCCGGTTATCAACCAAGGGACGTGTGTACTGCTCATCAGTTCGCTCCGTCCTTCTCTATGGCTCTGAAACATGGCCAATACGCGTTGAAGACATGAAAAGGTTGACTGCTTTCGATCATAGATGTCTGCGATCTCTGTCTCACGTTAGGTGGTTTCACAAGATAAGTAATGTTGACGTTAGGCGTAGAGTGTTGGGCAAAGAGGGAAAATCAATCGACGAGGCTATAAAGTTACATAGACTAAGATGGCTAGGTCACGTGGTGCGCATGCCTAACCACCGCCTCCCCCGACGGGCATTGTAGCTGATATAGGTTCAGGTTGGAAAAGAGCCAGTGGTGGCCAAACAAAAACATGGCATCAATCCATGAAATCCTTGACAGTTAAACTGAGTCAGGTAGGGAGATGCAGACTCCCGGGTTGGGGCCCTCGGGACTCTAGGAATCAATGGCTGGAGACAATAGGTGACATGGCTCAAAATCGTTGTCAATGGCGCAGATGTATTCAGTCTCTGTAATCTTTCATATTCCTTTCTACCATTACCCATTCTGTTTCACTCTTATATTTGTCAAACTCTATTGATTCTCTTCACTCATCTTCTTGTCTACCTCTGTGTGCTATTTGGAACGTGGCAACTCGAACTGCTGCACTTCGGTGCCAAGTTCTATGTTGAATCCAGACAG